AAATATTAGATACCTTAAAAAACCTGAATAAATACTAAATAAACATTTTCTAACAAAACGTGCAAAGTAACAAGTAGAAAAGAAAAATGCACAAAGAACTTGTATGGAGATTTTTCCATCTACAGATTTTTCCCTGACCTTCTTTTCTCTGTAAATTGAAGGTGCACACTATTGCTGAGAAACACAATCACTACTTAGCAGTCAGATGTCTGTATGCACAAAGGCACAGATGCATATCTTTGTAGAAGCATTTTTTACATTTGAACTAGCACCTCATGACTACACCACGTTATGTACGAGAAGCTGCAAAAGACACAGGCGCAAGTGGAATGTAAAAAACATGGTGACATAAATTTTTAAGTAAATATAATGGGCGATATATTGCGTAACTAAAAATTATTGAGGTCATGTACATATATTGTGCGATAAGTCGATATATTGATTATTGCGACAGGCCTAGCCAAGAGGGCCTTTCTAATATACTCAAGAACCTGTTCATTTCTTCAGTGCAATGTTGACTCACCTGACAATGTCCATGGCCTGGTAGATGATCTCAGATTGGTCGACAGCAATGACCTTCCTGGCTCCCGCTTTGGCGGCGAACATGGAGAGGATTCCCGTACCACATCCCACGTCAAGCACCACCTGCGGGTTAAAGGAGCAGCGCGTAACCTTTCAACGCTATGCCAGCTTGTCTGTGCCATCTTAAGCGTGCAGATGTGTAATAATGGCACCTGAGGCATTTATCATGCTGACAGGGTCTAACCCTTATTTGCTAAAGTCCACTGGCTGGACCACGATGGCCGAGATAAGCCTCTCGTCGTCTACCCCCACTTCACCTTTTTCTTTCCAGCTCAGCGCGTCACCTCGGTATCCATGCTCAACCGCGGCCGGCTAAAGCTGATCTAGCCAATGTCAGCGCAAAATTAATGGTTTGTATATGAGCTGTGGTGTATGTTATGTGTGTGCGCTGAAGCACCATTATCCTGTTATCAGCCCACTGCAGTTGACACATAAGAACCCCCCCTTAAAAAAAATACTGCAGCTTGGTATAATGTGAGTTTTTTTTTAAATCAGCCCTGTCATCGCAATCATTACTCTGTCATAGCTTTTTCTACAACACTTAGAAATGCTAAAGTGGCTGGGCTTCAGGAAGCCCATACTCACCTTGTCCTTGAAGACGTCTATGTTGTGGTACATGAAGTCTCGATAGCTCTCAGTGCGCACCTTGTCCTGTCGAAAAAAGAGACAACCAAAGTCCTAAGCAATGACACAGTGTCACCATTCTACTTTCCATTAAGAAGACAGAGCGCACCCATCCCAATGAGAGAGAAATCGCTGAACATGATCCAATCATTCAGAGCAAAAATTTTATTTTAACGCCTTATCCACAGTTAAAGCTGACAGTCAAGGAGCATGCTGGAAATCAAATTAACAATTGTTAAGCAGCATGACATAAAAATCTAATTTTTAACAGAGTCAAGATTGAATTAGAAAGCAATTCAAAGGATGTGTGACTGGTAATGATTTTTTTCTTTCTTTCTTTTCTTTTTTTTTTTTTTTTGAGGGGAGGAGGTTGCTGTTGTTGGGAGTGGAGATGAAAAATCAAATGAAACTGGCCCTGACACTTCTTGCTTTGCCAGCAGAATTTCAGCCAGAAATGGCTAATTAACCTGCCAATCAGAATAAGTACCACCCAGAACATACATGATGCTGGAAGCTATTTACAATCCAGACGAGAGCCATTACATTTATATCGGTTTAAACCAGAACATGTAAAAATAATAATTATTAAAACAATACTCTTACTCTTACATACTCTTTTTTGTATGGTTAAACATTTAGCTTAAACATTTTGAAGATTTTTTTCTGAACATTTTTCTAAACTACTGGTCAAAAGTCTGGAATAATTTTTTTATTTGATCAAAAATACAATAAAAACATAATATTGTGAAATATTATAACATTTAAAATATCTTTTTTTAAGAAAGAAAGAAAGAAAGAAAAAAGAAAGAGAGGGAGGGAGAGAGAAAGAAAGAGAGAGAGAGAGAAAGAAAGAATTTTACTCAGCAAGAATAAACAAATTAAACTGATAAAAAGTAACAGTAAAGACATTTATAATGTTACAAAAGATTTATATTTCAAATAAATGCTGTTCTTTTAACTTTCTGTTCATCAAAGTATCCTGAAATTTTTTTCATAACTGTTTCCACAAAATACATTAAGCAGCAAAAACTGTTTTCAACAATGATAAGAACCATGATTAATAATTTAGTATCAATAATAACTAATAATAATATGATATTATAATAACTGAGCACTATATCAGCATATTAGAATGATTTTTCAGAATCTCTGTTTATCCAGTAGGATCTGATTTGATTTTTATCCACACTTTTATCCATTAAAAAATGCTTTCAAATTATGGCAGAAATTCCATTAGCATTCCTGTAAGATTTGATGTTCTGAAGGGAAAACTTGAATTTTTTTTCAAATCAAACTTATTTGAGTGCACCTTCTGATGCAGACAAAAAAACAGATGATGGAAAATTTCACTTAACTTTCCTAACATGGAAAGTTTTGCATTATTCAAAGGGTTAAAGATCGCGGCATCTGACTCGTGACGGTAAATGGCATCATTTTTCGGTGGACAGTAAAAGGCGTCAGCACTTGCGTTGCACCATACAGCTCGCCTCTCCTCTGCAGAGTTTAGACTCTGACGCAAACCGTCGTTTAATGCAAGTTGGAGGAGACACCAATCACTGGCCCTCTCCAGGACGTACTGCAGTATGAGAGCTGATGATCCAAACGCTCCTCACTTGAACCTCCCTTACTGCAGTTACAGCACTCAAACAATGACATCCTAATAATAAATCTGGAAAACTGCAATGTGGGAAAAATAAATAATGGCGAATAATGAAACTATGCTGCATAGAGCCAACCATTGCATCTTTTTTTAAGGAGTTTGCACAAAGTGTGAGTTGCCTGTGACCTCCTTCCCAAACAAATAAGGCCGCAGATATATGTTAGATGGGGACAGACGTACCTTCAGCATCTCCTCATGGATGCTGTAATGCCCATAAGAGCTAAAGTAGGCCTCGTCTTCTTCTTCTCTCAACTCAGCAATGGCCCCTGAGCGTGAAGGGCCACGACTTGTGTCTGCGTTCAGCACTAAACCTTGTGCCAACAATCTGGGGCAATGCAAACACACACACACACATATATATATACAGTATATATATATATATATATTAAGACAGAGGAAGGCTTGGTCAGTCCACCAGCACACGTGCACGTGCATGTGAGTGCTCGCTCAAAATCTTAACCACTGCAGTGGAATTTTACCCCATCACTAACTTCTATTGCCCCGCCTCTTTTTTTGCACCTCTATCCACTTCAGTGATAGTCTTTTAAACCGAACTCTATGCTGCACCCTGCTGGACCCACTTATACATTACACATCTATTGGAGTTGCAGAGCTTACACTCAGAGTGGGCCATTCTTTCAAATTAGTCGCGACTGAAGGTCATTTTTCTTTTTTTTTTTTACTTTAAAAAATGCTTGTGGACAGTGCCATTATCGCAATTGCTTGGTCAGGTCAGTAATTTGGTTTGGGTTCTAACATAAAGGAAGATGTAAACTAAAGAGAGGGGGGGAAAAGTGTTGCAATGAATTTACTATGTTAAATTAACTGCCACTGATCTTGGGTTCTGGATTTTGTTCTTTTCATCAATCTTTAAATTTTGAATTGATTTTCAAGCATCTTTGTGAGACCTTTCATATACAGCTTCAGCTCTATGGACAGAATCTGTGACATACTGTAACAACAGTTGATACTGTAGTTAAATAATTCATTATAAATAATTGTTCTTCAGTTTGGAAAAACAAAGGAGAATGTGTCTGCAGTAATGCTCTCTTATCACAAGTCTGTGGGACAAGTGTATTGCATAATTTAAAAACTGAAATGTGAAATTCATATTGGTTATGCGGTATGTCACATTTCCAGTCCACAGAGCTTGCATTTAAAGTTGTATTTAATGGGATAGTTCACCTAAAAAAAAATTTTCATTTAAATCTTTCTTTCATCTGCAGAACACAAAATAATATATTTTGAAGAATATTTTGGTCAAAACAACACTGAACCCCATTATATCGTTCTGCCATACTTATGACATAATTTTCATTTTTGGATGAACTATCCCTTTAAACCGATGATCCAAACGCTCCTCACTTGAACCTCCCTTACTGCAGTTACAGCACTCAAACAATGACATCCTAATAATAAATCTGGAAAACTGCAATGTGGGAAAAATAAATAATGGCGAATAATGAAACTATGCTGCATAGAGCCAACCATTGCATCTTTTTTTAAGGAGTTTGCACAAAGTGTGAGTTGCCTGTGACCTCCTTCCCAAACAAATAAGGCCGCAGATATATGTTAGATGGGGACAGACGTACCTTCAGCATCTCCTCATGGATGCTGTAATGCCCATAAGAGCTAAAGTAGGCCTCGTCTTCTTCTTCTCTCAACTCAGCAATGGCCCCTGAGCGTGAAGGGCCACGACTTGTGTCTGCGTTCAGCACTAAACCTTGTGCCAACAATCTGGGGCAATGCAAACACACACACACACATATATATATACAGTATATATATATATATATATTAAGACAGAGGAAGGCTTGGTCAGTCCACCAGCACACGTGCACGTGCATGTGAGTGCTCGCTCAAAATCTTAACCACTGCAGTGGAATTTTACCCCATCACTAACTTCTATTGCCCCGCCTCTTTTTTTGCACCTCTATCCACTTCAGTGATAGTCTTTTAAACCGAACTCTATGCTGCACCCTGCTGGACCCACTTATACATTACACATCTATTGGAGTTGCAGAGCTTACACTCAGAGTGGGCCATTCTTTCAAATTAGTCGCGACTGAAGGTCATTTTTCTTTTTTTTTTTTACTTTAAAAAATGCTTGTGGACAGTGCCATTATCGCAATTGCTTGGTCAGGTCAGTAATTTGGTTTGGGTTCTAACATAAAGGAAGATGTAAACTAAAGAGAGGGGGGGAAAAGTGTTGCAATGAATTTACTATGTTAAATTAACTGCCACTGATCTTGGGTTCTGGATTTTGTTCTTTTCATCAATCTTTAAATTTTGAATTGATTTTCAAGCATCTTTGTGAGACCTTTCATATACAGCTTCAGCTCTATGGACAGAATCTGTGACATACTGTAACAACAGTTGATACTGTAGTTAAATAATTCATTATAAATAATTGTTCTTCAGTTTGGAAAAACAAAGGAGAATGTGTCTGCAGTAATGCTCTCTTATCACAAGTCTGTGGGACAAGTGTATTGCATAATTTAAAAACTGAAATGTGAAATTCATATTGGTTATGCGGTATGTCACATTTCCAGTCCACAGAGCTTGCATTTAAAGTTGTATTTAATGGGATAGTTCACCTAAAAAAAAATTTTCATTTAAATCTTTCTTTCATCTGCAGAACACAAAATAATATATTTTGAAGAATATTTTGGTCAAAACAACACTGAACCCCATTATATCATTCTGCCATACTTATGACATAATTTTCATTTTTGGATGAACTATCCCTTTAAACCATTCTTCCTTTCTTTTTTTTCAAATTCAAATTCCTTTAAAGGGGTAATCCACTGTTGGCAAGATGGGGTTTTAATAAAAACTCTCTGTCTATGCAGGAAAATATTTTTTTTAAACCTATGCTGACTAAAGAAACCTATGCTGACTAAACCTATGACTAAAGTAAACAGAAAAAAGTGCTGTGGCAAAAAAAAGGAAAACTTCAACACCCATAATGCATTGGGTTCAATCTGACTATCTGTGAGCAGGAATACAAAGATGCATAAATACAATCTGAAGTTTTCACAAATGCCCTGGAACTGTCAAAAGTCCGCTGGATGACGTGTTTTTGAATTTAATACTAACAGGTAGGGCATGTTTAAGATGGCATAAGCAACACTGTGTTTCATAAAGAATAAATAACTAGAGCATAAGCAATCAAACTAAAGATGAGCAAATTGAACAAAAGAGACGACAGTTGCATAAATATTATTTGTTGAATAACACTTATTTTGTTTATACTTTGAGAAAAAGCACTGAAATCTGAACCACAGTGATGCAGTGCATATCGAAGAGTGAGGCTGATGTTATACTGACTTGAGTTTGTGCAGATCGTCCATGGCCCGGGCCAGGGCTTCCTCAGCTCTCTGAGCTCTGTCTTCAGCCTGTCTGGCTCTCTGAAGCAGAAGAGGCACCTGATCACCAGCCGCGGGGCTCAACGTCACATCTGCAGCTTCGATCAACTCTTCAACATCTGACAAAATGTAAGCCAGTAGCACAAATGTGTTTCAAACACGTATGAAATATTCCCATTTACACATATGTTGCCATACCCTACAATTCAAAAGTTCTTAAGTTAGTAAGAGGATTCTTTTTTCACAAAGAATGAATTTATAATTCATCAAAAGTGACAGTAAAGACATTTATAATGTTACAAAAGATTTTGATTTCAAATAAATCCTGTTCTTGTGAACGTTCTTTTCATCACAGAATCCTAAAATAAAAACAACTGTTTTCATAAAACAATTTAGCAGCACAAAGTTGATCATAACAAGAAATGTTTCTTGAGCAGCAAATCATTTCAGAATGATTTCTGAAGGATCATGTGACACTGAAGACTTAAGTAATGGCTGGTATATTAATATAGTAAACTATATTATCACCCAGCAATATACTGAAAGATGGCTATATAGTACATCCTACTTTACCTGCATATGTAAAGCAATATATACTATATAGCAAATCTTGGCTGTGTGAATCTTTATATCGTTGCAAAATATAAACTGAAATATCGCACAGCTCTATAGTACATATTAAAGTTGGATATATATTATATTATTATATAAAAACTATATATTACATTTTAAAATAGAAAAAAGCAGAAATTTGTCACAATAAATGAGACCAAAAAAAAACAATAATTCTCATACCTATCTGCAGTAATGGGTCATCTGGTAAAGCTGGTTTCATATATTGATCACTGTCCCATGGCAATGGACCATTTGAAGCAAGTTCCAAACTCTCTGCAGAACATTTCTACAAAACACACACAGCTTATTCAGGCGTCAAGTCATCATATCGCAAATATACACTTGAACTGTGTGTGTTAAAAGATACTTACTGTAGTTCTAATGTAGTTTATCATCTTTATGTAGCCATAGTCATCAAGCCCTAGTGAGGAATTAAATCAGATCTATATTTAGAGACATCAGGCATCACTCAGCACACTGAGCAGTCCTTGGTTTGTAAAACTTACTGTGTTTTTGGACAAGATCTGGAATATCCACACCATGATCTGTCTTACAGTGTTGTACTGTTTCAGACACAGAGGTGAAAGTCCTGTTTAAAGTGAGACATACTTGAGTACAAAATAAACCATAGGCCCATCTTTAGTAGATAAGTTTTGAATGTCTTGAATTGTAAAACACACACACACACACATAAAGCACAAAAGCCATAATCAGTTATGCTACTTTTAAATAAATAAATATTCAAAGTGTTCAGGTTATTATTGCAAATTAAACATTTACAATAGTTCAAGTTTAAAATTACTAAAACATTTATGTCAATAGAAATAAAACTGAAAAAAAAAAAACTTAACTAAATACTGAAATAACCAAACTAAAATTAGAAATATTACACTTGCAACTAACAGAAATACGTTGAAGCACTGAAATTACTAACTGGAAATTAAAACTAAATCTGAAATAAAAATACATTCAACTTCAAAAAGGAAAAAAAGCACTAATAGCATAACAAACTTACTAAATATTAAACAAAACTTAAATTGAAAACTAAAAATACAACAACAACAAAAAAGCTAATCCAAAACATGAAAGTATATAAACTAAAATAATATTGGTTCACATGTCTATCCTCCTGACATCCATGAGTTCAAAAAGAGTTTGTATTTGTGTTGTATTTCTTCTTCTAGTTTCTCCTCACTATTGTCACATTTAATCTATCTTAAATTGAAATATTAAAATGTTTATCTTTTGGTTTATAGGCTACATCTAACATTACACTAATAGTGAGTAGAAAAGAAAAAAAAAGTAAATATTTTAAGACATTTTAATCATTTCTTCTGACTATATAAAAGCAAATTATTTACATTTGGAAATAACATGCTACATTTTCTCACACAGTATAAATGGCTAACATGTAAATATAGATCTGTCTATTATCATATTTGGCGGTTTCTGACAATAAAACGTTTGAAACAAACATGAGCAGATCACAATCCACAAAACTGTCTCCAGTCTTTCCGTTTTCTTTTTGGAAGCATCATCATGAATGGTTTGCACTGAATGTTACCTGCTGTCACAGAGTAAACACGGGACTGTTATGCATTCAGATCCCTCCTCCATTGACTGCCATTGTTCTTCATCACTGTCGGACAGCTCGGGTACATCATCACACACCTCACAGTCATCATCACCTGCATCACAAGATACAGTTACAGAAGCCATAACAATTAAACACCTTCTAAACAACCGGTGAGAACTACTGACATAATTAACTGTACAGGAGTTCACCGTTAATTACACCATTTGAAAATGCCGAACTGCAGTACATTTTCTCTATGTTTAAGATGCACTATTCAAACCGTTACAGTAACGCAGTTCAAATGAGTTAAAACAAATGTGTACATCATATTTCATACATTCACGTGTACCTGTGTACGCTGCCATGTTGTAGTCGCTTGTTGTTGGGAGTTTTCTCATCCGGGTCATTCTTATTTGGTGCACTTCCCTTCTGTCGCCATGTGAGGCCGCTGTTTCTTTATTAATCGTAGTAACCGTAAGCCTTGAGCTGTCAAATAGCCTACCTCAGTGTATCTTTCTGTATCCTTTGTGCATATTTGTATCTGTGTATCTTTGTTAGTAACAAAGCATCAAAAAGTCATTTATGCAGGTACAACCCATTATCTTCTTTATGTTTTGTAGTTTTATAATAACACACTACCTACAGTCAAAGCGTTGGACTCCCCTTGACTTCACATTGTACAGTTATTGTAAGGCTTACAATAATACTATATTTATATAGTATGGCTAGTGTGTAAATTAGTATTGTCAGTTTTTGTGTGGAATTTCTCTAATTGAATTTTTAATGGATAAGTTATGCAAGCACACATGAACTCTTTCAATGCTGGTTAAAGAATTACGAAATCACAAAAGTTGGATCATAACATATCAGCTGCCAAGTTCAAAAATTAATATTCTGAATGCAGATGAACAGTATAGCTGCTGAACTGTTTCTGTGCTATGATGTGTCATACTGTTTAATACTGCAAATAAATGCTTTTGTCTTTCAGATGTGACTAAAGAGGTGACTGTTTTAATCCATTTTTCAGACATTACATACAAAATAATTTAATTATATACACACAATAGTTGTGTTCAAGGATGGATATAATTAATTTTTTCCTGAGCAATGTAAAATTACATAACAAAAAAGAAAAAGCACCAGAACCCCAAATGAAGCACACAGAAACATAGCACTAAGTCGTGGCCTAATGGTTAGAGAGTCGGACTCGTAACCCAAAGGTTACGGGTTCGAGTCTCGCACCAGCAGGGATTGTAGGTGGGAGGACTGAATGTACAGCGCTCTCTTCCACCTTCAATACCACGACTGAGGTGCCCTTGAGCAAGGCACTGAACCCCCAACTGCTCCCCGGGTGCTGCAGCAAAAATTGCTGCCCACTGCTCCGGGTGTGTGTGTTCACTGCTGTGTGTGTGCACTTTGGATGGGATGAATGCAGAGCACTAATATCTTGTTTTCGAGAATTTCCACTTTCTCCTCTCCATCTTTCAGTGTGTTCACAACCATAGCTCTGGCCACTGCTGTGATGGGAATAGACATTGTAGGGAAAACAGAGGAGAATGCACCAAGAAATTTCTGGGCCACCCACTCAGCCGGCCTGCTCTCCTCTCTGTCCACTAAGAGCACCCTAGAAGAAAAAAAACAATCATATATGAACTACAGAACAAATGATGATTTAAAATAAGGCAGACATGCACAACATACACAAAGATGTATGACCTCAAACTATACTTCAGAGAAACTGCAACAGATTTTATTTAAGAAAAATAAAGCAGCGGGACTCACGCTGGTCGATAAATGGAGAAACGCTCAAACAGGTCTTCAATTTCTGCTTCAACCTGTCCCTGTAAATACAGCAGTGTTGGAATGGACAAGGATTGGCTTGAATTACATCAAAATACAAGCTTGTCCTTCCATGCACTGTTAATCAATTAAGTGATATCATTTTAACAAGGCACAGGGTTTATAATACCTTTGTTTTCAGATAGAGAAAGCTGCTGGTTTTGTCTGCACCTTTGGAGGATTCGAGATGAAAATGTGAGCAACCTCCTGCTTTGGCAAGTTCTGCAGACTTGAGTACGTAGTCATGATCCACCCGCACAAACCCTTCCTGTAGCCCATACAAAATGTATGCACAAAAAGTTGTTTTTTAGTATGCAATTACGAAACTTTACCACAGGAAATAAACATGAAATGTAAACTTGTACAAAGGGTTCTCCACAAATGCATCATTAGTTATCAAAAACATAAAGTGATTTTCTTGTTCATCAGCTGCTAAAGTGTTCTTAAATGCATTGCTAATTTGAGTTTTAGTTAGCATTTATTTTATGTCTCATCATGAAAAACATATTTTTTATTATACAAATAATATTATACAAACATTTTCTTACATTTATAAATGTATTGAGTTGAAAAAAATATAGCCTAAACTCCTAACTAAGGATCAGGAGAAAATCCTTCATGCATTTATACAGTTCACAAAATGATCACATCTGAACATACAGCTCCTGCTTTGGCTTTGGTTGTTCCTAGACAGCAGTATCCAACATCATGGCCCTGAAAAGCCTCGGTGTACTCAAGAGAACAAGAGGGACAATAAGTCAGAATAAAATCCTTGATAACGTTAAAAAAAAGTGTAAGTTGAATTGCATTAAACAACAAAATATCAAGCCACCTAGCATGTGCAAACACATGATGCTAGATTTAGATTTATATGAGCCAGTTACTGCTTGTGCTGTCTTTCTTTAAAGGGATAGTTCACCTAAAAATTAAAATTCAGTCTATGTGAGTCATAATGGTTAGGGTCAACTCTTTGGCTACTAAAACTCTTGAAAATATATTCTTTCGTGTTTAGCAGAAAAAAAAGAAATGTATACAGGTTTGAGACAACTTCAGGGTGAGTAAATGATGACTGAATTTTTGGGTGAACTATCCATTTGCACTTGAATAAGTGTCCAAACACGTACATAAACGCACATTACCAGATTTTCATAGGCTTTATCCTCAAAGGTTAACTGCCTTCGTCCAATGAGAGTGATGCTGGAGAAGATGTTTCGCTCCACTATTTCCTTCAGTAGCGCCTTTCCAGAATTTGCACAGGTGTACTATAATAAACAGGTGTATTATTAGTAATAACTGCTTCAAGTCAAGAGTTGTTCCTCAAAGCTGCGCTCGGCGGCTCAAAGCTCACTTAACCGCAGTCAAATCTCAGCACGATTGTCTTACTGGTAATATTTGTACACTAAATATAGGTCTATAATTGTTAATGCCAATATCTACCTGACATACTAATGTAAAGCCGCACCAGAAAACTATCTTTAAACATCCTTATACAACCTATGGGATTTGTCCATGCTGAGCAATGCTGAGAAAAGTATCAAGTATCACGTGACAATACGGTCGGTTCCAGCAAGGGTGCTGCTGAGAAATATTAATAGCAACTTTACTGAATTGAATTATTAATTACATCCAGTCACGTCCACTTGACAGCATATTTCACGCATACATTTTTTCCCTATTTTTATGTTCTTTTTTTTTTTTTTTTCAAATGGTCTAACCTGTTTTTCTCAGTATTTGATGATGTTATTTATCTAAATACAATCAAGAGGGAAAATTGCCATTCTCGTGAGGTGTGGTCGTTCATACTATGAGCAAGAATCAAAAAGATCATGTACTGCAGAAAAAAAAATACTGTCAGCACAAGCAGGACAAAGCAAGTAATAGAAGTGACAATGTATAGTGGTCCGTACTTCACCTTGGGATCTCGTCAATCTCTGAATTCTCAAGATAGTATAAAACAGCGGCGAGCGCCACAACAAAAACAGTGAAGAAGCTTAAGGTTTTACCCCAGTTACTCTCAAATATATTCATGCCAAGCTCGATAAACAGACGACTTTGGTAGTTAATACGCTGGAGCTTCTTCCTGTTATAGCGTCCGGTGTTTCACACTGCGCTTGCGCATAACGTATACATATGCAGCAACATTACAGCTGTTTGGAAAAGCATATGCACGAGCACGATTGCATTTGGTTTTACTGGCACTTGAATACTTCAGAACGTGAAAATCATGACTTTACATACTAAAGTACTGTGGCAGAGCAAATGAACACCTCTCAATAACAAAGCTGTGCTCAGAGTGCTGCTTATGTGGTGGTGGTGCAGGTTTGTGTCTGTTTCTGACTCTGAGCTCATTCTTTTGAGTTTCTCTATGCATAATTTCATAGATATGTGGCTATACTTAACCACTGGTTCGCCTTACCTCACCACTGGTCACCTTACACGTTTACACTTTCTGTAGTTAAATGGCATGGTTTGATATGATAGTGTTCAGTAAATGTTATCTAAGTAAATGTTAAACTTTTGAAATTCAGAAAATAAAAAGAACAACATATCGATGAATCAATACATTTCTTAACCACATATTTTTTGAATAAAACAGCAAGAGGATAAACAGTAAAGCCATTCCCCCCCCCTAAATTTTTTCCTATATATCAAAGGTGACAATATTCCTGGAGGACACTGTATACAATTATGTCACTGATCCAGTTATGCTAATAATTGCATAAATGATTTATTTTAATGCTCTTACTTCTGTAAACAGGTTTTGGTTTTTTTACGAATGTAAAGTAACACATTATCAAAAAAAATTGTTTAAAAAAAATTTAAAAAGAAACAACTGAACATTCACAGTTGTCTACAAACCAAAGAAAATAAAATAATGGAAAAGAGCATCCAGCCATTCAAAGCCCCACTCAATGAGGTATTATGTTACGTTAGAGTAGCTATATAAAATCTTTACACTTTACAGTGTTTACAGTCTTTGAATGTAGCAACTACAACAATAATGACCATGTAAACTATATTGCTGCCCAGCTCTAATCTGCTAAATGCAACTTTAAGGCATAAAAATATAAGATATCATCATGACTTTCTGTAAAGCTGCTTTAAAAATGTATTGTAAAAAAACATACAAATAAAATTGACTTGGTGTGACAACGTGGACAACAAAAGTGCATAATTATGTGATACATAACCTTATAATTTCTAGGCACAAGAATATCATCAACACAATGGCTTCTTAAAGAAATGTAACCTCTTTTAAGTGTAAATAGCAGGTGAGATGATTACTGGGGGAGAGTTTTGGTCTTTATCACCTTTACTAAACAGACAAAAATATAGATATAGTTTCTCAGTGAAAGACTGACCCGTGAAAGAGCAGATATGAGATCTGGACTCCACATCATAGAAGGAGACCAGACCCTCCTCATAATCCACAAAAAACCCCACCTTCTTCGGCTTCGCTCTCAGAGACAGAGAGACAGATGGGCCAGCACAAGCCCAATATTCATTCCCATTCCTCAGTGCCACAGTCCAGAATCCATTCTGAGGACACATTGTGATCAGTCCCTTCCTGTTAATAGATTCTCTGGCCACTCCTAAATTCCAGACAGTCTTTCCCTTCACTTGAACCTCAAAATAAAATCTCCCAGAGGAGAATCCCTCTTTTCCCAGGATACCAGGATAGTGATCAAACCTCTCCGGGTTGTTTGGGAGCTTCTGTTTAATGTCTCCATGTCTCACTTGTTTCCCATCATCAGACAGGATGAGATATGGATGAGCTGTATCAGGATCCAGAGTCACATCCACTGAGAGAGAGAGAGATCAGAGCATATGAATCTTGACAGTACAAAGATTTAGATAAAGTGTTAAATGTTTAAAAAAAAAACTAGTTGGTACAAGTGATTATATGTTCAGCTGTGATCTCTGAATTTTACCTGTAAAATGCTGCATCACCCTCAACACTGTGGAGGCAAATAATAATAAAACATCAACAAGTGTGGACAAACCAACATCCATGATGCTATTTTGTTGTCATATAAGTCATTAATACTTTTATTTAGCAAGGGAAAAAAAATTGAATCCTGAGAAAAAAAGAAGTAAAACTGTTTTCAACATTGATAATGATTAGAAATGTTTCTTGAGCACCAAAACAGCATATAAGAATGATGAGATATTATATTATACAGTGAATTATGAAGGATCATGTTTCTCTGAAGACTGGAGTAATGGCTGCTGAAAATTCAGCTTTGTCACAGGAATAAATTAAATATATCAAACCAGAAAGTAGTCATTTTAAATTAGAATAATTCACAATAATATGTTTAACTGTATTGATGATTTGTTGTTGCATCCTTGGTGAGCATTTGTCACCTTCTTCAGCCACAATATTTCCCTAGATAAAGCATGACTGCTGTCAAAAGAAATTGTGTGTGCTGTATTTCTATTGACCTACCAGATTCATTGAGTTTCTCGTCTAGAGTTTCCTGCAGTTGAGTCAGAGCTCTCCTCAGAGTCTCCACACTCACATCAGTGTTCATACTGATCTCAGGCCAGTTCCTGGTGTGTGGAGGACTGCACAGGGATGGATCAATCTACAGCAGGAGAGAGGAGAAGTCCCTCAGCATGAGGAGTGTGAGTGTTGTCCTGTGATGTGAGATAGAGAGACACTGACCTGTAGGAGGTGCAGGTGATCCTCAGTGTGTAAGAGATGCTCCAGCTCAGTGTTTCTCATCTTGAGCTCAGAGAGTTCCTGCTGCAGCTCTTGAATAAGTGTTTCCTCCTGTGTCTCTGCTGCTCTCTGCTTCTCCTCCATCATCTCCAGCAGCTCAGCCTGACATCTCTCAATGGAGCGGATCAGATCGCTGAAGAGCTCAACACTGGCTGCTTTCTCCTGCTCAGTGCTTTTCTGCAAAATAATCAGATTTATTTTTTAAGGCAAATCTAAACATTACCCATTAAATATAATCAACATCCTCTCACTTTTCTGAGTTCTGCTGAGTGTTTGATGTCTTGAATCTTCTTGATTCTGTCCCGGATCATCTGCTGCACGTCTTTCTTTGTCTTCATCATACGAGTCTATAGACAAACGGGAACACCCAGACACATTTAATTACTTGCTAGATATTTTAAATCAGATTATTAAAGTATTTTTAATGTTGTTAGTAACTCATGCCTTTTTCTCTTTACTCTCCTCCTCTAGATGAACAGTGTTGTGAGTCTTGTGGTCTCCATCAGTGCAAAACACACACACATACGTCTGATCATCTCTACAGAACAGCTCTAGAGGTCTCTCGTGTTTCTGGCATATATAGTCCTTTATATTCTCCACAGGGTCCATCAGTTTGTGTTTGTTTAAATGCAGTTTCTGATGAGGCTCCAGGTGAGTTTCACAGTAAGAGGTCTGACACACCAGACAGGACTTCAGGGCTTTCATCTTTGTTTCTTCACAGACATCACAGAGAACTTCAGATTTTCTGAGGCCAAAATATTGCACAAACTGGATCGTGTTGTCAGATCTTTTACTGTATTTCCGTTTACACACTAAGCAGCTGCAATGCTGACTTTCTTTCAGGCATTTGTCAGTGGAGACTGGATCCGTCAACACTTCCAGATCCACAGAACTTGGAGACTCCTCGTCTACAGCACCACTGGAGGATGTCAGAGCTGAAATGTGGATTATATAATTAAAATATATTTGTTATAATACTGAATATACAAGAAATGTTATTAAGAAAGAAAGGTTAGATTAGTATTAGAGTACTACATTTGATATCACAGTTCTATCATATTATATCACTAATTCATTCTACGGGTTCCTGACTTGGAGGTTCATCCAGACTCCATCTCCTGGTCTTTCCTGGTTTTGGTGATGTTGGTAAATACCCTGCCATTGCTCTTCTCTTTCTAAAAAAAAAAGAAAAAGTCACAGCACATATCTCATTTCCCAGCATGAAACTTGCAGTGTCAAAATCTGAAGCCATCTGTCTGCTCCTTAGCCTTAAGATTTCTGCATTGTTTTGCATCAAATGGCAAAAGTTTTACATTTAAATGTAAAATATTTGGTTTATTAAAGTCCTCAAGTTGTTCGGTCAAATCAGTGCAATTGAGTTTGCAGACTAACAGGTCTGACTTGTCCGGATCACTTCTTTCTTTAGAGTTCTCATAATCCGAAGTGCCGGATTTCTTTGTATGCCTTGTGGTATGCTTTTGTGTAATGTTTAAAAAGCAAGATCAGTCAGACATGTTTAATGAAACTCTGTTTTCATCACGTACCTGTCAGGCACTATCAGCTGTGCTCACTTTTACTGTCCGAAATCATCTCGTTTCAAAAGACCCTCCAGGTTGTTGTATCAGTTTAGTTTCACTTTGAAAACTCTCAGTCACCTGCAGAAATATCATAACTCCTCCTATATTTTCTCATGGATATGGAATCGATGTTAAAATGTTGTTAAAAGAATGTAAAGTGTCGATTATACTATAATTACTATTTATTGAAAAATTAGATAAAAATACATAAATCTTACACATTAAGTTAATATATCAGTAAATAAAATCAAAAATGTACAGTCCAAGAACTGAAGGCGCATGACATCTATTATTGTTTTTTTTTGTTTTTTTTGTTTTTTAGTGAAATCTTTATGGCAAATTATTATTTTATATTTTTCATTTCACATATTAATCTCATATTTTCATGTTTATATTCCATATCTCACAATTGCAAATTTATTTCTCATTTGACTTTATAGCTCACAATGTGACTGTTTCTTATTTTAAACTTTATTACACAATTTTTTACTTTTTTTTTTTTCTTTCACTTTGAGACTGAATAGAGAGAGAGAGAGAGAGAGACAGAGAGAGAGAGAGAGAGAGAGAGAGATTATTAGAGTTATTTTTCTGGCCTAGATTAACAAAGTAGTTTTGCTCCACATGAAGTGTTGCCCCATGATTTTGAGATCATATGACCAGCCATTTATGTTTTTGGAATAAAGGAATGCTGCAAATAGGCCATTTCTACAATGGCGTCTGTAACCAAAAACGCTTCTGTGTGATGCCCTATTCTCACCAGTAGGTGCCAGTATAAATCCAAGATCACTGTCTCTGAACTCGGTTTTCGGGGCTCCTGCATGCAGAAGATGCCACTATTCCAATACTGCTGGTTTTGATAGTGAAATACATTCAGTAATGGTTACCTCCTTCTGTTTATTGTTTTGTTTGTGCTTCATTTCTGTAAAGCTGTGGAAACGCTTTCATACCAGAAAGTGCAATTCACACATGAACACATGTTCTAATATCACTAGAGAGTCTTCAAGTCTTCAAATGGAGCAAAACTGCACCATACTGTATCATTAAACATATCAAAATTGTGAATGAAACCATTTTCCTCTACAGCCGATGAGGCCACACCATATGCTCCGATCCTTTAAAGCAGATTTTATTGTCCAACTGTTTAAATTCCACCTCTTGTTCAAACGCTTGTTGGACGCTAGTATGAATAGACCCATATGTCAGCTGACAATCCTCTTTCAGATGCTACTGAACAAATGCAGTGGAGATTTATAGAAGGCTATTGATATCAGCTTTCATTATTCCTTCTTTAAAATGATTAGGGAAACAGAAAAAAAGCTCTTTCTTAAAGACAGAAGAATATTTTCGCATAAGCTTGTCAAGTCTAATAAACCATATTTTAATATATGCAGCCATAGAGTTCATTCTTCAACTGTTCTTGCAGAATTAAATGACTGTAAAGCACAAGTAAGGAAGTGTTATTCAGAAAGCAACGCACAGTGCATCTGGATCTGCCATGCAATGAATGAATTTTCCCTGCTGGTTTTTTAACTTTAAGCCTCCCTCTGAAAAGCTGCTCTTTTTCTATTATTGAGCTTAAACCAATCTCTTCGAGGAGAGGGAAGAATGACAAAATGCATCATGAATGAATCCACATCCCCCTCGCAACTTAAGACAAAAGCCTTCGATCTTGCTGTCCTGTCGGTAACAGGGCGACCGCGGTGAGCTCTGGAGATGCCGGCGGAGTATAGTCTGTTAATTACCACTGAGTGGAATCATAATGGCCTCCTATTGTCCCGTCTTAGTGGGGGTTATGGCAGCCTGCGGAGGAGAGATGGCTTTGTGTAGGCCGCTGTCATACACACATGTTGAGTCATTGTGGTCTGACTTCGATCGGATGAACGTATGTAGGAAATGTGATTGAGGCCATGCTGAGGTTCAGGGGAGGGTTGTTATTCACAGTGTCATTAAAAACACTTTTTAAAGGCATACTGTTAAATGTCAAAACAGCTTGATATGTGGACTTGAATTCTTGAAGTCATACATTTGACTTGTAATTCTAACTCAGCAAAACCAGATCTTTAACTACACTTCACAATCAATAACTCTAAGAAACAGAAGGCTACAGATAAACACTAGCTAGTGGTAACTGTTAAGTGTAGGTAAGTGTATTAAACGTTTTAATATTTTTGATTGACGACTTTCTTTACAGGTGGCACATTCGGAAAGGTTATATGAAGTCACTAGTGCCAACCATATTTACAAATAAGTAAGTACGTAAGTAAGTAAATAATGAATTAATTAATTAATAAGACTGTTAAACAAAAAAAATGAATGAATGAATGAATAATGAATGATGGAAGGAAGGAATAGGACTAAACAAACAAACAAACAAGTAAATGAATGAATGAATAAAAGAATGAATGAATGAATAAGACTGTTCAACAAACAAACGAATGAACGAACGAATGAATTAATTAATTAATAAATAAATGGAAAAGTAAGCTTATTGATTTAAAATGTTTTGATGTTGACCATTTTTAAAAAACTAGAATTTAAATTCATTTTTTAATTTTAAAAACTAAAATTAAATTAAAATTAAATTTCAAATTTTTAAAAACTAGAATTTAAACAAAAAAAATTTTAATCACAACAAAATTTTGAATGTCTATTATACAGTGGGTTCCAAATAAATAAATGAACAACTTAAATAAATAAATATAATGGAAAACTAGGTCTATATGTCAATTTTGGCATGCTTTGTTGTTAAAGAAATATATATTTTTTTTAATAAATTGTAATTTAAATGTATGTAAAATGTGTTATACTGTGGGTTCTAAAAGTTGATGATCATGAGTAAAAATGCAAACATTTATTAATTATTAAAAAAAATTATTAATTGCCAAAAATTTATTACCAGCAAAACTATTTGAGTAAAAAGTGAATTTAAAAAATATTTGGTCCCTCTTTTGCTTTATTGACAGCAGCACTTGAAAACCTGAATAGTGATCTAGAAATTAGTGACCTAGATATTTCATATTCATGTAATTAATACAAACATATTTGTTTAATATGTTTCAAAACACTAAAACTTTGTTTATTTCTATGTTTAAATTAGATTTGAAATATCTCATAATATCCAATGTAGCATTTTCACACAAAAAGTATTAAAAGCTTCCAAATGACTCTGAGGTTGTTTTAACCCTAAAATCTTTAAGTAAAAAAATGGATGTCTAATCCAGAATACACAGAACCAGGAGGCCTAATGCCCCACTGCAGTGCAATATGCCCCATATCCTGGCCGACTGAAACCTGCCCACTGACACAGAGGGCTTAGCCAGCAGAGCCACTGACTCTTGAGTGTGATGCTAATGATGGCCATTAATGGAGTCTGACAGCACAATCTGCTCCTCTTTGTAGCACCTTTGCAGGATCTGCAGCTTGCAAGGGGCCAAAGAGGAGGCGACCGGCTTGGGACGTCAGGACGAATCAAGTGGCAAGTGGTTGCGCAGGGACGGGGAGGTTTCAAGAACAGAACCGGGGAGCTGCCACAGAGGGACTGCGGATTGCAGGCCGATTCCTTATTCATCCATTTTTAATGTGGACATCATTTAGGGTAAGGGGATAAAAATTGGCTCCTTTGCACAGTTTTTGAGAAGTTAATTGCATAACTAAAAAAAAACTCACAATTACTCATTAAACAGGTAGCTTCGTCTAGGACTGTCCAATAATGTGGGCTTAATTCTTCAGTGGTCCCAGAGGTGCAGGAATCACAGGCTTCACAATCCCCGAGCTGAACAGGAGTGACATCATTAGACTTGACTGTTTGCCTTGTTATAGTTTTCATTTGCATGTCAGATAATCTTAACAGCGTCTGGCCTAACGCCCTATGAGCCATTTCAGACCAAGGTCTGCAAAGGATTTTAATATATTTGTCCATTTTTATGTATGTATGTATGTATGTATGTATTTAGCAGAATACTGTATTTTACATCATATTTTGAGATTATGAGAATAATCAGTAAAAGATTATTCAATAAAATAGAATAGGTAGTGAGTAGTATTTTGTATTATTCATTTTGCACTTTAACTGATGTCATTTAAATGTATATTTATTCAAAAACGTTAATTTAAAAACGAATTTATTGTAATAAATTATACTATTATAATACATTTATTAGAATGTATTTATTATATTTTATTACATATATTCTTATTACAACAGGAACAAATATATACATATAAATAAATGTATTTCTTTGCTTGTAATATATTATGATAAATATGAAACAATTGATGTACTATTTAACAATTTGTAATAATGCTTGTAATAATAAATATGAACTAATTTCTATATTATTTAAAAACTAATTTATTATAATAAATTACATGAATATAAGTATATTAATATATATATATATATGGCCAAAAATGCTGCAGCTCCACTAAAGGCAGCTGAATATGCTGCAGTTCTTCAAGAGGTGGCCATCTCCTTAATGTGACCTCGTTCTCGCAAGCAGCTGCCAACTCATCCAAAACAATGGCGTAATTAAATGAGCAAACAGATTAGAGCAGCGTGACACAGAGGGAGATGGGAGCGTAGATGAGGCCCCTGCCAGGCCACAGCAGGTTCAGCTAATACTTAGTACATCTGTACGGCATGCGGTGTTAAGCACAGATACGTTAGCTTACAATGGGAGGAGAGGGGGGAAGTGTATTACAGCACAGGGCTGGCCAAGTTTTCTTGTAGGGGCGGCTTCATCAATTGAATTCACATTAAGTTATTTTCTGCTATAGGGGAGGTACTGAAAAATGTTTGTCGAATAGAAAGTTTTCACATTTTCCACAGTTGAAAATGTACACGCTCAGGAAAAAAAAAAAAGTACAAAACTTGTCACTGGGGCAGTACCTTTTCAAAAAGTACGTCTTTGTGCCTTATTTACCCCTAAAACTTATTTTTTACCTTAAAGGTACATATTAGTACCTAAATGGTACACATTCGTACCTTCTGAAAAGGAACCGGCCCATTGGGAGCTAAAAGCAAAAGCAAAAGCAAACCCTACAAAATG